AAGCACCGGCAGCCCCGTTTTATCCCTGCGCTGCTCGCGGTGTCTTTGTCAAACGCGTTAATCGAGCTGATGGGTAGAGTCCTGCAGAGCGAAGTGTGAGCCCAAAGCAACCGATTTGCTTAAAATTGGCCTTTTTTTTCTTTTTAATGAAACTTTGCGGACGTTTAAACGTAGTCGATGCGTCGCAGGTCCGCAGCCACGTAGCTGACCTCAGTGGCACTCTTGTCCGCACCCTGTGCCCCTCACCCAGGAGGGAAGGGTGATTCTTGGGCGTTTTTCATCTCCATCAGGATGAGATCCGACCAGCAGCTCTTCTAGAGGGCTGCGGAGGAAGGAGTCAGTGGAGAGGGAGCCCCAAAATCTTTAAGGTGCTCGGTGGTTCTTCAGCTTTCCATCACTTGGAAACATCTGATCTTCCTGCTCGCCTGATGAGAGAGGCTTACACAGTCTGTAAATGCTGATGCTGTCAGTAGCTTTAGAGGATGGATTCTGTTAATTTATATTTAGCTGAAGATATTTTGGATTGAAAAAAATTTTGACTCGGGAAAAGCGAGGATTTTGGCGAGAGTTGCGATCACTTTTACCCCATGTCAGCATCTGACTTTCAGTGTTGCCCATACAAACAGGACACTGTTGACTTCTGTGAAGATGACCGATGTGGTCAATGGACAGGTGAAAAGAGGACAGACATGAAGATCTTTCTTTTTACGCGTTATTTCTTAGCCTGGAAGTGATGTTCATGAGATCGTAGCACTGTGTGCACTAAGGATTTGTATGTTCTGTCTCTGTACTTAGAAAGTATGTTTTCTGTGTTTGAGATTAACCTTTTCTATTAAACAGCAAAGGTGGTTACATTTTTTTTAAACTTTTTTCCTTGCATGTGTGATGTGATCTAATTGTGCTGACTTTCTGCAAAAGTATTTGTGCAATTATCTTTGACAATTTGAATTAATATAATCTGAAATTTCTTATTCCAGGTTTTAGCAGAAGCTTGTCTCTGAAAGACTGGAAAGGAAAAAAGGTCAGAATGTTTTAATTTGATTAATTACTTTGATCATTTTTCAGCTCAAATAATTGTTAAAATAATACAAATAATACTGGAAATTTAAATTTCTATAACTGGGAAATCAGTCTCCTGGAGCTGTCTGAGCGAAGCTGATAAGACTCCCAAGTCATGGTTAGAAAATTTGTTCTCCATGATTGAGAACACACAGAAAGTGTTTCTGCACTAGTGAGCCTCAAAGCAGTTCTGTTCATAAAGGTTTTTAACTTAAGTTTGTGACTAAGAATTAACTTCTGTGACTGCCTGCACTGTAGGCTGTTTGATAGTGGGCTGTAAACTGTTCTTACGTGGCTAGAAAATGTCTCTGAGGAAGTAAAGGACTGTCATTATGCATTTGAAGTGCTATCAAGTGCAGCGTATTTGAGTAAGAGACACATTCCCTATTTTGTTAATTTATTTTTTAGAACATAATGACTACTTTGGATGATAAACTACTTGGTGAGAAGCTCCAATATTATTACAGCAGTAGTGAGGGAGAGGATGAAGACAGTGAGAAAGAAGATAAGGAGGGAGAGAGCACCATTCCTGACAGCGTTGGGGAAGTAGAGCTTAGCAGCGATGGCAGCGCGGTCAACACAGGTATCATCGTATCAAATTAATGGTTTTGTAAATACTTTGTTTATTGGAAAATTCGTGTTTCTCTAAAATGCATTTTTCAGAACGTCAGTCCTGTTCTTACATGTACTCAACTCAGAGAGAGAGAGTTTCCTGGCTATAATCTAATGTTATTTTTAATAGCCGTGTTCTTTACTTTAGTGTTTGACTTCTCTTCTGAGAGATGTTGGTGTTATACCTAAAGCAGTTAGGCTTTCCTGTAAGCTTTCCTGTAAGCCACACAGTTGTTAACCACCAGCAGTCCTAACGTAACAGCTGTAGGTGTTGAACAAGTACATGAGGAATAGACAAAGGCAGTGTTCTGTGCCACCACTGTCAAACACAGTACTGGTCTGTGTGGACTGTTGGTGTGATCCAGGGGGTATTTCTTTTGTTCCTATGAAGGACTCTCTCTGTGTTTTACGGTTTCGCTAAGAATGATGAAAAATCTTCTTCCTGCATGTGTTCACATCTTTCACCTGAAGGAAGAATGACAGAATTACAGCACTAAACTGGCGTACTTGGAGAGGACCTGAAAAAGTAACTCAGCAACAGGGTAACAGCAAGGTGCAGTCTGTAAGAATTAACACTGTTGTACGTCACAGAATGTACTTCTGTACAAGAGCATTGGCAAACTTAATTACACTTTCCCATCATTATTTTTGTTCTTACGAAAAGCCGTGCTAACAGTAGGGGAATTCTTCAGGGCTGGTGGTTCTATCTCAAGAGCACAGGCATTATCTTTGGGACAGTTTTGAGAGTAGCCTAGTTAGGTAAGCTCTTGTTTCATGTCACATTTTGCACAGTATGTAAAAAGTTTATGACAGGGCCACTAATTTACTGCTGATTTATAAATTATTACTTGAATTTTGAATTACAGGTGTAATTTTATTACCCTTTTATACCAAATGCCTACATATTTAATTTCAGGTCCCAAAGGAGTCATTAATGACTGGCGAAGATTTAAACAACTGGAGACGGAACAGCGGCAGGAGCAGCGCAGAGAAATGGAACGACTCATTAAAAAGTTATCTATGACATGTAGATCTCACTTAGATGAAGAAACTGATAAGCAGAAGCAGAAAGAGCTTCAGGAAAAAATCAATGGAAAGGTAGCATGGCACAAAGGAATTAAAATGCCACTTGAATGTTTAACATTTTCTGTTTCATCAGTTGTGTACACAAAGCACAAAGGAGTCCTTGTTCCATCAGTGGAGATCTCTTGTTTCTCCCTAGTGAACAGGAGCACGGCAGCGGAGTAAGAGGCACGCTGTAACTGTGTTTGACAGGTGTTGTCAACTTTAATTATTTTGCTCTTTAGTGGTATTCCAGGAGCATCACGTTTGCCTGTGTTAAGAAATAAGCAATTTAGCTGCTGTACCAAAGAAGTCCAAATCCTGTTCCTAGATTTCTCTTATCTATTTATCAAATAAGTCAACTTCAGGGAATTAACATGAAGAGTTGTACAGTGAACCTGTGAATACTACCTCCCATGCCTCAAACAAGAGTTTAGGAGTCCTGATTGATTTTGTATTTAATAAGTGGATGGTTCTAATGAACTGAACTGTATAACTAGCTCTTAGAGTCCTAGTCAGAGAAGTTACTAATTAGCACACAGTGTTTCTTGCTTTCAGATAATGAAAGTTGGCCACACTATCCTCTACCTTGAGTGATGCAAATATTTTCAACAAAGCAAGTGGACAGACAGGAAATACATAAAAATCCTGTTAACTTCAGTTCTACAGACAAGGTAGTGCATTTGGTTGCCAAAAAATGTTAATGGAAAAACTAAATGAAAAAGGTAGTGAGAAAGAAGCTAGACTTAGGTCAGGCACAGTATCCAGATCAGTGCTCATAGCTTAGTGAAGGCACGTAGCCACCATTAGCCTGAATTAAAGTGGGAGCGTGGAGCAGCCACTGGAGTTACTAGTGCAGCTTGTGGAACTAGAATACCCAAGGCTGAAATCGCCGTTCCCACTGGATGTGGTTTCTAATTAGATCAAAATGGAGTGTAGTACAGAGCGTGCTTGAGCCTTCGTGGGTTGCACTTTGCTGTTACTAAAGATGAGTGACCCACATTAATCCTCTTGATTTAAATTCTCATTAGGGAAGTGACCCATATAGTGATGGAGATTCTTTTTTTTTCATGTATCTTGTATGTGTTTTTTAGATGACATTACAAGAATACAACATGATTCACAATGGTGAAGATGATGAGGAATTTTTGCAGCGATACAGGAAGCAGCGAATGGAGGAGATGAGACAGCAGTTGTACAGTGGGCAGCAATTTAAACAGGTTTTTGAGATTACCAGTGGAGAAGCATTTTTGGACACAGTTGATAAAGAGCATAAGAGCACACTGATCATGATCCATATTTATGAAGATGATATCCCCGGCACCGAATCCCTGAATGGCTGTATGATCTGCCTGGCAGCTGAGTACCCAACAGTTAAATTTTGCAGAGTGAAGAGTTCACTCATTGGTGCCAGCACTCGCTTTACTAATAATGCTCTGCCAGCTCTGCTGATCTATAAGGCAGGTGAGCTCATTGGCAATTTTGTGCGAATCACTGACCAGCTCGGAGAAGATTTTTTTGCTGTAGACCTGGAGGCTTTTCTGCAGGAATGTGGTTTGCTGCCAGAAAAAGACCTAGTGCTCCTGACTTCTATACATAATCCATCTGCATGTTACAGCGAAGACAGTGATCTGGACATAGACTGAACCACTTACACCAAGCGGTCCGTAGGTGTAGTTGTACTGTGGGATGTTCTTGTGCTAGGGATTGTTCTCTTTCTTCCTTAGAGTGGGTATGTATTCTCCCACTTCGTGCACTTTGACTTCTGTTCATTAATTAAAAATTCATTTAAAATAAGGAATTCCTAACATTTTCTTAAATATATTCAATAAAGTACACACTGAAACAGTCTTGCTTTTATGCAATTCAAATATATTTTACTAAACATGAAGCTCTAACACAATTCAGCAAGTTTAGGAAATTGTATATTGTCATCTCTGTTCTCCAAATCACGCAGTTTTTTTTAAACATTTTGTTCTCAGATCAGCTGCGTATGGTCCGTCTCCCTACAGGTTTCCTGAAATGGTGTATGTGAACACCAGTTGGATTGAGATGTGGCCAGCTACTCACTAAGGCAAGAATTGAGGCTGCAAATAAATTTTTAAGCATTAAAGACTGTCATTAACCTGGAGCTGAACTGCTGCCACTTAACAGTGCAGGTTCCTGTCTTCTGTTCGTCAATTTACAGTCTCCTTTTCGGAAGTACCTTCTTGTTCTAACACTTGACATCAAATTTGTGTTTCTTTCTCACAAATAACAACAGTCCCTGACTTGGTCATGAAAATTACCTTTTGGCTGGAAAGGGTTATTCTTTCTTTAACCTTTCCTGAGACTTAAATGAGAAATTCTTCCTTCAGATACAGCTCTTAGTACATTCTTGAGTTTTAAAATACCCACCCTTAGAGTTCATAGTAGTCACTCTATCAGAAAATGATGCCTGCCTCTTAAGAAAGGTGTAAAGAGCTCCAACATGGGTGCCGATGAGCATCAAGGAGAATTTTGTTGGCAAAATGCAGAACAAGGACTTGAATAGCCTCAGAATTTCATCTCTCTCTAAAATTAGGAAATCAGTGCTGAAGTTCATTTCTGTCTGCCTTCATATGGTCTGCCTCAGCTGGGTCGTCAGATGTATGTTGAATATTGATAACCCCCGGACCTGAGAGCTGACTGGATGGCTTTGTGGGAAGCACCTTGAGCCAGCAGACAGGTCACCGATATGGGTGCTCAGCAGCAGGTCCCTTTTTTCACAGCTGATGCCCCTCTCTGCAGCTCAGTATCCATTTTCTGCACAGAG